TGTGACATTTGTGAATTTTAGAAAATGTATATTTCAAAAATATGATTTTCTATCCTGGCGAAAAAATCATATGGTTTTTTACATTGATATTTATTATTGCTGTGTATGTGTGAGCACCTGCAGGGTGTACACTGGACACAGTACAAAATGGCTAGATCTCGCCAAGGACCACATGTTGAGTAAATCTTAAGTCAAGATTCAAATCCCGTGTTCTTAATCACTGTATATACCAGCTGGAGCGCAGCCGAGAAATACCACACACTGCATAGATGTGCGGGAGCGGTTTCTTTCCTAAGACAGCAAAGTGACACGCTTTTGTTAGATTACTTATTTTACATACTTTGTGTCCATGTATGTGCTGTGTGTTCACAGAGGGTGTTGAATCCCAGGACTGAAGTTACAGATGGTTGTGAGCCTCCATGTGGTGCTGGAAACCATACTCGGTCCTCTGGAAAAGCAGCCAGTGCTCTTCACTGCTGAGCCATCTGCCCCAGCCTACACTGTTCCTTTCAAACAGTTTTTATTTCACATAAAAAAACACACATGTTCAGTTTATTTGTATATTTTAAAAGTGCTTTTTGGCTTATGAAGATGAAATTATTTTATTTCTGGAAAAAAACTTACTACAGGTTTCATTTACCCAAATTCTATACTAGATAATATAAAATCTTTATTAATTTTTATTACTTTGAGAAAACAGACCTCTTTTTGTTCTTATTCAAGTGATAAAGGAAAAAAAACCACAGTAACATAATTTATAGGAAGAAACATAATGGTGCCCAGAAAGCAAGGCATTTTTATTTATTGGGGGAAGGGGGTTGCTTGAGTTGGCTTTTTGTTTTCCTTTTTTTTTTCTTGGTGTCTTGTTTTTTTTTTTTTTTTGAGTATGCTGTAGCCAGGCTGGCCTCAAGCGCGTGGTGATCCAGCCTCTGAAGTACAAGGTCAAAGGCGAGATTTTGTGAGATAAAGTCTTGCTTTGCAGCTGTGCTAGTCAGACACAAGCGAGAGTCATCTGTGAGGAGGGCACCTCAGTGAGAAAACGCTTTCATGAGATGGGGCTTTGGCAAGTCTATAGGGCATTTTCTTAACTAGTGGTGTGGGAGGGTCCAACCCATTGTGTGTGGTGCCACTCCTGGGCTGGTGGTCCTGGGTTCTATAAGCAGGCATGACTTCTGTATCAGCTCCTGCCCTGTTTGAGTTCCTGTCCTGACTTCCTTAGATGATGGATAGAGAGATGTGGAAGTGTAAGTCAAATAAACCCGTTCTTTCTTCCCCAAGTTGCTTTTGGATATGGTGACTCATTACAGCATGGCCACCTTAAGATGGCATCCTATACTTCAAATGAACCATCCTCTTCCTCGGCCTCCCGAGTGCTGGGATGAGAGGCAGGTGCACTGTGCATAGCTAGGATGCTGACTTTGTACCCGATGAAGCTGCTCGTCTCTAAAATAGGGTTTTCTTTTGATAACTTTACTAATTTTATCTACTTGCATTGCATTATGTTGTTATATAACATGAGATGTTTCTTCCAGTTAGTGATTTTAAAGAAATATTTGAAGTTAAAAGGAATTAAATAAAATGATCATCACTTTGGTGGCAAACTATGAATGGCTTTCTTAACATGAATGTCTTTGTTCTCAATTTCCTATTTTCCTTAGATAAAACCAAGTAATTATATGGTGATCTCAGATCATCATAATTTGGAGAAGTACTTGTATCTCTGCAGCTGAAATAGCACATAGGTTCTAGAGATTCTCAAGAAATACGAACGTGCCATAAAGAATCTTAAAACAAGTCTTTCTGTGAAACAGGAAAATAAGTTTTAAATGGAAAACTTAAGATCTCATTATTAAAATATAATTAAGCTGGGCTGAGTTGATAAGTCGGGATGAATTCTGTGCTGTGGTGTGGTTTTAAACATTTTAAAGCAATTGTAAGGAAGCCAGCAAGAAGCGCGTAGGAGATTGTTAACTGTTAAGGACTTGTGTGTCACCGGAGAGCCATGCCAGCCTTCTGAAAGGCACAAAGCCCGCACCATCACTAGAAAACCGTCTGGAAAGTTGGGACATTTTCTTTTGCTGATGGTATGGCTGTCTTGAGCTTTACATAACAGCGACTTACTGAATGTTCCGAGCTTTAACCCCTTAGAGGAGAAAATCATTTAAACCAACATTTATTTTATTTTTCCACATTCTTTGGAAGTGAAGTATGGCAGCTGTCTAAAGTGTGTGGCTGTGTATGTCTGTGTGTTTGAGAACAGTGAACCACAGAGTGATTAAAACAGAATTTAGTGCCCGAAATTGGAATTTGGCTGGGAGCCACAGGGATTGTTACTCTCCCCACACTCTGACTGACAGAGAGCCTTTTAGGGGGTGCAGGTGCTCACACATTACCGACAGAGGACTTTGTAGAGGGTGCAGGTGCTCACACATTGCCAGGGGTGAGCAGTCTCAAAGCAGAGGGAAGGGATTAAATAAAAACTACTAAGGTGAGAAGTTGAGTGCTTTACATAAATAGTAAACTGCATTTCATTTTATTTATGACCCCATATGTTAGGAAGGGACGCTGTTGAAGTAACAATCACTTAAAAAGCAACAACCAACAAACCAGTATTTAATTTGGTATTTAAAACCAATAATTAAAAAGTCAAATGGAAGCAATGTCTAAAGTAACTAAGATAATTCATAACAAATAGCAGGAACCCAAGCTCTTACTTATTGAAAATATAATTCATTGCAAGTGAGCTACAATGCAAGGATGGAGTGAGGGCACACATTAGCCAAGTTCTATGAGATTCCCCTAACAACTTTAAAGGACTTCAGAACAAATCTTCTGTGCAAACACTGATGAATTATAATTTCTTCTAAGTTCGTTCATACATGACCTTATTCGAAGCACTGCATTCACTAGCACAATTCATGTTAATAAAATAGTTTTGAAACGTATTTTCTTTCTTAGGTATTTCACTAGTTTGAAAGGGATTTTTCCAGAGACTAGTCTGAATTTCTGTCGCAGCTTAAGCCTTTAATGAAGATATGCTTCTGAAAAATAAGGCATATTCTCTATAATCTGCCCATGAATAGAAAACAAATCTTTGGTTTTTTTTTGGTTAAAGTGGCAGAGAAGATTTTGCAAAAAGAAATACTAAATAACCAACACAAAGAGTTCTTAACAAGCAATGGGAACTCCAAACCCCATCAAGGTAAATAGAGTACCTAAGGCACCTCAGGTTCAGATGATACAATCGTCTGCTTAGAGTTCGAGTATTCTATATACATGGTTCTTACCATCTGCAGAAAGGGAAGCTGAAAAGGTGATGCCCGACTATGAGTGCTGTGAATCAGAAGAGAGTGAAGGCTCATGAGTGGGAGAGACCCTGGAGAGCGTTCCCATGGTCACAGCATGAGGAGACCAGCGACACCAGTGCACCTTTCCCGATTCTTAATCCACTTCACTGCCTAATACACTAAGTGTCAAGGGTTTCACAAATGTAGATTTGAAGAAAAAAAGAGAAAAACCAAGACCCAAACCCATCAAATCTCCAAAGGCAACTTGGAAATGAATAACACTTTACTGTCGGGATTCCTTCATATCATGGGTTTGACAACTTAGCTAGCATGTTAACTCATTATACAGTTTCTTTCAGTTCTATCTAAAAACAGACCAAAACAAAATGGGGAAGATACAGAAGCCCCATCTGAGCATACATAAGGCCATGATGCTTAATGTGAACCACCGCTGCTTGGAGAAAAAGACATCCCACGTCCACTTCCAAGAGAAAGCTCTTGTCCAGTAGACTGTCCACTACCAAGTGGGGGCGTGTGGTGCTTAGACTTCAAAAACTCCTACAAAGTCACATGCAAGACAGTACATCTAGATTTGTGACTGGTAGAACATTTAAGGCTGTCATTTTCAAGTATCAATGTTTAGTGTTCCATTACCCAATCTGTGCAATAGACAAAGCTGTGAGCACAAGTCCTGGAAGATAACACAAGCTCGCTAAAGACAAAGAAGTCGTAGTTTAAGCAACAGCAAATTTAAATCTAAGAAAGGCCGGCAACACGATATGGATTAGATTATGCTTCCCTAAACTGCATGAGGTGGTTCTCATGGAAGCGTCACCTAACACTACTGTCTGTTGCATGGCATTTAGAATAAGGCAGATCCATAGCAGATTGAGGAAGAAAACCAAATGGTACCAGCCAGTTATTAAGGTGGTTTGTCTCCACTACACTGTGATGGCCTATTCCCCGAAAAGGGTCAGCAGTGGCTCCAGTACACCGAATAAGCTTTACAAAGAGACATGGAAGTTTGCTCCCCATATTTTTTTACACAGGGCTTTTTATGTAGGGACCCACATATCCTGTCTGCGGCATTAAAGAAATCACCATTATTTAGTTCTGGTTTAATAAAGTATGACATGGCTGGAGAAACCGTCTTGGGAAGCCTGTAGTACTGTTTGCCTTGTACTCTATGTGTATAAGCTGTGGGCTGTACCCTCTGTGGCTACGGTAGCCGTAGCTCATGGAAGCCAAACACCCTCACATTCCACAGAACATGCTTAGATTCTAGGTCTTCCCTGACCCCACGGAAGGTTTCTAAGGTTTGTCAGCCTCCTCCCTTCTTGTTTCCTTTGATGTACACAGCCAAAGTGGGAATTAGAAAAATGACCAACTAACTCAGAGAGCTAAACTGAGTTCAGGATTATGGCACACTATGACCCAATTTTTAAATTTGTACCTTAGCATGTATTTCATGCAATCTGGGGAACATCAAACTACATCTACAGCTGCCAGAAGCCTTGCTACCTTCTGATGCACATTAACTAAAATGTGTACATTTTAGTGTTCGTGGTAAATGCAATTGTGACCTATTAAACCTTTGACATTCTTTAAGAAAGCACATTAAGCTTCACTATAGAAATGTTTATGTTATACTTAATTTGTGCTCAAGTAATAATAAAACATCAGTTGGTTTTGATTTCATAATTCTTTCCTCAGGTGTGGCCCATCTCCTGTACACTCGGAGCAACCTTTGGCTATGTGGCTGGCCTGGTGAGCTCACCACTCTGGATATACTGGAATAGAAAGCAACTCACATACAAGAGCAGTTAAGAGGAGGAAGGGGAGAAGCTGTTTCTTGGTGCAGATTCCATAAGGGCTGTGCAGAGGTGGATGGTCAAAGCCAAGCGGTTCCATTTACAGCACTGTTGTTTGTCAATGTTGTCTCAACGTGATGTGATTGTAGCTTTTAACTATGAAACCCCTGAGAGATTGTACCTTCTAGTTGAAATAAAGTATTTATAGTAGACTGTGGCTTCAGATGCTGTTTGCTGCCGCTTAGACCTTTAAGAAACATTCTCTGTGAACTCTGTAGAATGCTGGGGACAGGTTCCCTCCCCCCTCAAGTTAAACTGCTTCATTGTAAGAGGTCAGGACATTGCCGTAGCATTTCAAATGCTTTCTGGGAGAAATGGACAGTTTCCTTGGCCGCTACAGACTTTTCTCACGTAATCAAACAACAGTTTATACATCTTGATCCTATTCTTTTTTTAACTGTGTGTTTCTTTGGAGTTAAAATGGCTATGATAGCCTCATCAAAAACAGTCTTCAAACCCTTCTGGGTCAAAGCTGAACATTCCACATAGCAGCATGCGCCTATCTGGGAAGAAAAGAAAAGCCACGATTACATAAAACAGTTTTTATAGAACTCAGTAACAGCACATTGTATGGGAAGTTGTAAAATACAGCTATGCCAATTAATACCCATATTCATAATCTCCAGAGGCAGACAGTTGTTGAAATGCTAGTGTATGGCCTTCTAGATTTCTCTATGAAAAGTTCATTCATCAAATAGATACTTGCTACTGCTTAAGTGCTGAGGACTAGAGGAGCACAGAGCAGACACAGGCAAGTGCTGGGGAGAAGGAGCAGAGGGAGTCCAGAGAAGCCTTTCAGGTCAAGGTTGAGCAGTGAGTGAGGAATCCTGAGGAGCCGAGCAAGACCCAAAGACCTATGTGGGAGGTACTTGGCACAGCCCAGACAGCGGAGAAGCCAGAGGTGGGAGCGACAGGCATGTGACTGCTCACTGTGTAGACGCTGGTCATTCTCCAGTGTCAGTTTCTCAGGATCGCCACGCTGCTCTGTCCCTACTGTGTTCTCCAGGTGACACATGGCTTCTGGCTCTCTAGCTCTGTGCCCACAACCTTAGGCTTGATCTCTCTCCCTCAAAGAAAGAGAAAGTCTCAAGAGCAGGGAAGGAACTCAGTGTTGTCCTGTTGTGTTGCCAATGTGGAGGCTCGTGCTTGCTTCTGACCTGGTGGCCTAGGGTGGATGCTCTTAGCCCACTATCTGCAGGGACATATGCTCTCTGCTGACTAATTCGTCTTACGTAAGGGGCTGCTGTATGCTGAGACGCCAGCGCTCTACACATTGGCCGACTTTATTTCCAGCACCTGATATGATAGCACATTTTGTAGTCCACTCTCTGCTACAAAAAAGTTCCGTTTTGTAGAACTTTTGCCTTTGTGCATTAGAAATTCCTTCTCTCCCCAAGATGATAAAGTCAGATGCAAGCAATTTCTCAAGTGGTTTGTTGGTGAAGTCCTTTCTATTTGCTTTAGGAAAACTGTCCTCCAGAAAGTTCTCTTGCTTCTTCCTGTCTCCTAGTAGAATATTCTGAAAGACCTCACTAGATAGTACTTACACAAAAATCCTATTAAAGCTAATGGAAAAGAAGGAGGAGGAGGAGGAGGAGGAGGAATCATCCAATGTGGAAGGGAAAAGAATCTAGCTTTGGTTAGGTAAGGGAAAATATGAGTTAAAAGGTATTCTATGTATCTGTAAATATGTTTTAGAAATCTAGCCATATTTTTCTTTTTAGCCACACATTTAAACTGTTACCCAATGTCACTTCAACTACACCGAAAGCAGAGCCGAATTTGGCACACTACAAATATTTCAATAATTAAGAAAGGTATGATGTCTAAGCACCTGCTTCTGGCTTTTAAAAAGCCACCTACCAATGGCTTTAAAGACATCATAGTTGTAAGCATACCATAGACAGGCATGTGACCTGGAAGCCCAGCTCTGACAATTTTACTGCGAGATCTCAGGCAAGCCCCCCTGATATTTAGAAGCACGTCCCCATTCTTTCTCGTCTGCAGTCAGGGAAACAGTCTTTCCTTGTGACACCAATGCAGAGATAAGAGAGATAAGGGGAGAGAAGTACCCAGCAGCCCTGGGACACAGTGCACAGCGCAGCTGGCTTCTGCTGTGACTTCACATTCATGGGAAATCCAGCAGGAACTCATTACCTCTTTTGCTAGTTTCTGTCCTTGTTCCACACAGACAGGTTTTTCTTTCATGTCGTTCAGTCTTGCTAAAGTTTTGGGGTCATCTCGGAGATCAATCTAATTAAGAAAGATCGATAGTGTCCCATCATGTATATTTTAAAAGAAACCAATGCATATAGTCCCATTTAAGTCCACATATTAAAAAATAAAACAGGATTTAAAAGATATTAATATAATTTGGGAGAATTATTTTTATGTAAAAATGAGAGGAATTACCATTTGAAACTTGTTAAACACATCATTTGCTAATCCTAGGGTCTTTTGTCTGACAGCAACCCTCCAAACTAGCTGGAGAGCTTATTCTTAACATAATAAAATCCAAGCAGACACACCTGAGTTCCTATTAGTAAGAAGGGGACATTTGGTGCATATTCCTTAAGTTCCGGTACCCATTCCTCTTTCACGTTTTGAAATGAGGCTGGATTTACCACAGAGAAGCATATGAGGAAGACATCAGTCATGGGGTAAGATAAAGGCCTCAGACGATCATAGTCTTCCTATGGACAAATAAAATGAGAAGTCATTATTTACACTTACATGTCTACCAATTAGTAACAATAAATACATTAGGTCACATGAATCAAAAAGTTCATCCAGGACTGTATCTCTCCATGAAATAAGATGATTCCACTTGTTTTTGTTTTTCATCTTTTTTTGGTAAAACAATTTAATACAATTAACAAATCAAATAAAAACTAAGAAAATAGGGTGGCCCACTCCGTAACTCCAGCATTTGGGAGGCTAAGGAATGGAGATGGAGAATTCTAGGCCTGCCTGAGCTACAAAGTGAGATTCCCACCTCAAAACACACACACACACACACACACACACACACACACACACACACACACGGAGGGGAAGAGAGACAGAATACACTGATTCCTAAAGCTATCACTGCAAAGTTTGTACAAAGACCCAAGACGAGCTTGATGCTAAGTATTCTAACATAATAACACACACTGAATAAGTACAGCAAGTATTACAATGGTACAAGTAAGTCCAACATGGTCTTTCATGGACTTATTCCTGAAAACTGTGATTCACATACAGAGGATGGAGAGCTAGAGTAAAGATGCTGGGCTTCCAGCTGGGGCTGACAGCGTTCTTGGTGCTTAATGAACCTTCACAGAGACTCTTTGGTTTTGCTTTTCTTGCCCTCTCCCCTCCCATCCTTTGTGCATACGGTATATGGATATTAAATGTGTAAGTCACAACCCCTCCCACTTCCCTTTCTTTCCCAAATGTTTTCTTTGTATTTGCCAGCTTTTTTTTCCTTTGCATATATACACCTGGAACATATATACACACATCCATAAAGCCACACATACATTTTACTCTGCAGGCACCTTGTCTACTCTGCCTTGGTAATCACCACACCAAAATACACTGAACTATTACACGGGTCACACCGCTGCTTCAGGGCTCCGTTCCTGACTACACTGGACTATTACAGGTCACAACTGCTGCGTCAGGGCTCCTTTCCTGACTACACTGAACTATTACATGGGTCGGGGCTCCGTTCCTGACTACACTGGACTATTACAGGTCACAACCGCTACTTCGGGACTCCCTTCCTGACTACACTGGACTATTACAGGTCACAACCGCTGCTTCGGGACTCCCTTCCTGACTACACTGGACTATTACAGGTCACAACCGCTGCTTCGGGACTCCCTTCCTGACTACACTGGACTATTACAGGTCACACCGCTGCTGCGGGGTTTCCTTCCTCACAGGTTTTAGTTTCTGCCACACAATAACTATCTCATTTTGCGTGATCTCATTTCTGTGACACTGAATTTTAAGTACACTCTAGCAAGAGAACAGAGTTGGGGTTCCACTTCCGCCATGGCTAGACTCATCTGCTTTCTCGGAAACTGGTTTTGGAGTAGACTACCCCTTAAATGACCCACTTTACTACCAGAACTGTATAAGTGCGGAACTAAGAGAATATTCCCAAAGATCTTCCATTTAGTTTCTGCAGCATTACTCTCCACTGAAGAATTTTCCTTCCACGCCATCTGACATTTTTAACTTCAGTCCCAGCACCTCCCCCTACTTGTGAGTGACTAGTTCCAGAATCCCCATGACACCCAAATCTGCAGATGCTCCAAGTCCCTTCTATAAAATGGGGCCATTACTTATGTGTAACCACTCTCCACCCTTGTGTACATCTTAAGCCATTGCTTAGAGTGCCTAATCAACACAAAGTTAGCTTACTGTATCTCTTAGTGTCCTGGCTAGTTTTATGTCAACCAGACACAAGCTGGAGTCACTGGGAAGGAGGGGGCCTCAATTAAGAAAATGCCTGCATAAGATGGGGCTGTAGACAAACCTGTAAGCATTTTCTTAATTAGTGATTGATGGGGAAGGGCCCAGCCCATTGTGGGTGGTGCCATCTCTAGGCTGGTGGTCCTGAGTTCTATAAGAAAAAAGGCTGAGCAAGCCATGGAAAGCAGGCCAGTAAGCAGCTCCCCTCCATGGTTCCTGCATCAGCTCCTGCCTCCAGTTTCCTGCCCTGTTTGAGTTTCTGTTCTGACTTCCTCCAGTGATGGACTATGATCTGGAAGTGTAAGCCAAATAAATCCTCCCCCCACCCCCAACTTGCTTTTTGGTCATAGTGTTTCATCATAGCAATGGAAACCCCAACTAAGACACTTAGGGAATGACGGCAGGAATAAAGATCTGCATGCATTGTATATTTTCCCCCAAGTATTTCAATCCATAGTTGGTTAAAATTTCATAATTGGATATGAAACCTGCAGATAAAAAGGGCTGATGTATAACATCTAAATCCTTGTCTATGGACATTAACTTTTCTATTTTTTTTTTTGTGTGTGTGTGTGAGTCTTTCATTTGGCGATATTTTGTTCGTGCTTTAACAAATAAAGCTTGCCTGAAGATCAGAATATGGAGCTAGCCACACTAGTTAGCCATAGAGGCCAGGCAGTGGTGGCTCAC